AAGTTGATTTATAGATTTCTTTTCTTATCCTTTCTGGGTCTTAGCTGTCACAGTTAGCTATGATTTATGTGCAATTGGGCTTACTGAATTTAATTTTTATTGTGGACAATATGAATTAAAAATGTGACGATACGCTTGAAAAAAAGGTGGAGAGGAAACCTGTGTGGGCCTTATACCTTACATTACACCTTGTGAATGAGGCTTCACAAGTCATACAATGTAGAACTGATTGTTCCCTGATATTACAAACTGGACAAATTAAAATTATGATTGTAGTATAGTCTACACTTGAAAGCGAGCAGAGTGCTTACTGAATGTGAATTTGCAGGGCTCGGTTTTGAGCGTTGCATTGATCAAATACTACTGGCACTTTCTGGGCTTGTTAAAATCCTCAGATTTTAAGGAACACTTTTTGCATTTTTCTTCAGTTGATAATAAATGGTGATGTTATGGAAAGTTATGTTTCAAAGAATCACCTTGTTGGGATGTGATGAAAATGTTAACTCTGCTGTCAAATTAGCATAATTATATATACGGTTGGTCTTGCTTGGATTTTGCATACTACGTGAACAGATGAAACTTGTGAAGTTGGTCGCAGCTAACAGCCATTTTCTTACTTTGTTGTCACTCAGTCTGAAGTTTTCGCGGTTGCATTTGCACTACTTGCAGCAGGTGCTGTAATTCTGACCTTGAATGTGTTGCTGTTGGTAAAGCCTTTCTCTCTTGCCCCTTCCTCCCCCATGCCCTTCCAACACACACATAACCCAACTTCTATAGTCACTAGTTAATTCATTTCCAGAAATTAAATGTGTGAAATTTCCCTACCTTTTGTCGAAACCTTGAATAGCTGAAGCCCAGGAAGAATTTTATGATCCTGGATTGATTGACCTGTGTTCTTTTCAGGGAGGTCACATTATCTTCTTCCAGAGCCTGAGTCTTCTAGGCTACTGTCTTTTCCCGCTAGACATCGGTGCCTTAATTTGCATGTTAAAAGATAATGTGTTAGTCAAAGTGGTCGTGGTTGCTGTGACATTGGCTTGGAGCTCGTGGGCTGCATATCCTTTCATGAGTAGTGCTGTCAATCCGAGGAGGAAAGCTCTCGCACTTTACCCCGTCTTACTTATGTATGTGTCTGTTGGTTTTCTCATCATAGCCATAGACTGATGCAACAATTATATGGCTGTTATAGTACCGTACCACTTCATTATTTGATCAGATTCTGGACAAAACTATCGGCGTTCGAATTTTTTAGCAATACTTTCTTGATTTCGAGTTTTGACTGAACTATATGTAATGGCAGTTGTATATAACTTTTTGTTTGGGGTATAAATTCGTGTTCTGTATCTTGTTAAACCATTGCTGGCGTGTAGTCGACTTCTCAATTGTACCTTCATTTTCCTAGAAGTTTATTGGTTGGTCCATAAATCTTATTTATGTGCTCCTTGAAGCTAATGGCAGCCTAGTTTTCTCCCTCACTTATCAATTTTCTTTCCTTGTGTTTGGTTGTGCTTAAAACTTAATTTTTAAATAAAATGTAGTTTTTTAGAAAAATAAGTCTCAACTTTCTAAAAAATTAACTTTCGTGCACGTCTGTTGTAACTTTGTACGTTATTGTGTATACTGTGTGAATTTTAACTAAAATAACCATAATCTCTTGTAGAGATAAAAACTCAGTGTGCAAGAAAATTGAGAATCATGTAAGCAAAATAGGGACTCGTTAAGACAAATAGATATTTCTTTAGGTCTCGCTTGGGAGGGATTTTGAGAATTAATTTTTTAACCGTTAGAAGAAAAGTGGGGTCTACCTGTAAGAGAAGAAGTCAAAAATTATGGCTGGAATAGTGAAAAAACGGTCAAAAAATCAATATTTTAGGATAAAAAATCCCTTTCAAATAGGCTGTTAAGCTTATCATCTGTCTTTGTCAAAAAAGATACTTTTGAAAATGAAAATTTTACAAAGTTTAAACAATAATTTGAGTGATTATTGTTACTGAATAATTCTTGTGACACTCATTTAATCAGCACTCATACTCGAACAAAATAGAAGAAAGGAGAGTTAGGGAGTGTCAAATGGATGGAGACTGGCCTGAAAGTGAAGGCTTGACGCTGCAAGCTAAACATCCTTTCATAAATGTACCAGTTGTGTCCTTGCCAGATGGAAAAGGGACTTCATGTTGAATTATCACACAACATTTACAGACCTTCTGTTTAAAGGTAGGCCCAACTCACTCCATTATTTGATTTCTAGTACAAATACCTTCTAAATAGAACATCTAAGTCACCAACCTTTCATAAATGTACCAGTTGTGTCCTTGCCAGATGGAAAAGGGACTTCATGTTGAATTATCACACAACATTTACAGACCTTCTGGAGTAAGTAGATGAAATGCACCGAATTCATAGTTTTTTTAAAGTTGCTTAACATTTTCAAGCCTGGCAGACTGTCTCATTCAAATTCTTCATCATTTTGGAGCAGAAAAAAACACTCTAAACCCTAAATTCCAATAAAACCCTAAATTCCAAACCAAAATTTAGGTCCCATCTCTGGCCTGTTATATTATGCTCTTTTGCTTTATACAACCTTCCAAAAATCCTTCTTGTCTCTGCTGTTTTTCTTCTACTTGCTTATTATGTATATCACCTACCACCTTTTACATTTTCTTAAAATTTCATTCACACCCCACCTCTACCCCTACCGGCTACCTCTACCCTTGCACCTCATTTCAGAATCAGGACTTCTTTTTCCCTTATCTTTCCCAGTGTCATGGTCGGTAAAAAAGATCGAATAATACTGAACTACTTTTTATTGAAGTAAAAAAAATTAAAATCTTATTTACCGTCAAGGTTTCATTTTTCCTATATCCTATTCAAAGATTCAATATGCCATCTGTTTTCCTCTATAAATCAAAGCACAATTCATCTCTTGCATTCACAATATTCCTTCTTCCCCCACCCCCACCCCCCTCTGTCACTGTATCATATACTTACTGTATTTTACGGACAAAACGAAACCACTGAAATATGAAGGAGATTTGGACAACAATGGCATCCATGTTGGGTGTCTGGGCATTCTGCCAAAGCATTCTCCACATTGTTTTCCCACCTGAATTCCGCTTCGCCTCCCTCAAGTTCCTCCACCGCCTCTTCCACTGGTACTCCGCCTACTGCTACTACGACATCACTGAAATCGATGGCGTCAACACCAATGAGCTCTACAACGCCGTGCAACTCTACCTCAGCTCCTCCGCCTCCATTTCCGGCACCCGTCTTAGCCTCACTCGGGGCCTGAATTCTAGCTCCATCACCTTTGGCCTTTCCAACAACGACCGCATTGTGGACTTGTACAAAGGCGCAGCTGTCGAATGGGAGCATACTGTCACTCAAAGACAGTCGCAAACCTTTTCTTGGCGGCCATTGCCTGAGGAGAGAAGAGCGTTCACTCTCAGAGTGAAGAAAAAAGATAAACAGGTGATTTTGGATTCTTACTTGGATTTTGTCATGGAAAAAGCTAATGAAATACGCAGAAAAAACCAAGACAGGTTGCTTTATACGAATTCCCGCGGGGGTTCTTTGGATTCAAGAGGTCACCCCTGGGAATCTGTGCCCTTTAAGCATCCCAGTACATTTGATACACTGGCAATTGATCCTGTGCAAAAGGCAGAAATTATGGCTGACCTTGTGGATTTTGCCAATGGTGAATCTTTTTATAGGAGAACTGGGAGGGCATGGAAAAGAGGGTATTTGCTGTACGGTCCTCCAGGAACTGGAAAATCTAGCATGATTGCAGCCATGGCTAATTTTCTTGGATATGATATTTATGATCTTGAACTGACTGAAGTGAATACAAATTCTGAGTTAAGGAAGTTACTCATGAAAACCAGCTCGAAATCGATTATTGTCATTGAAGACATAGACTGTTCTATCAATCTGACAAACCGGAACACTGCAGGTGGTGGAGGTGCGAATTCAGGTGGACGAAGAAATAACAACGATGCCTCATCCCATGGGATTGAGGATGATGGAAATTCAATAACACTTTCTGGGTTGTTGAATTTCACCGATGGATTATGGTCCTGTTGTGGGAGTGAAAAGATTTTTCTGTTCACTACAAATCATATTGAAAAACTTGATCCTGCATTGTTAAGAAGTGGAAGAATGGACATGCACATTCATATGAGCTATTGTTCGTTCCCTGCACTGAAGATTCTGCTAAAAAATTATCTGGGATTTCTAGAAGATGAATTGCAGAAAGAATTATTGGATGAATTGGAGGGTGTAGTTAATGAAGCAGAAATGACTCCAGCTGATATCAGTGAACTTTTGATCAAGAAGAGGAGGGATAAAAATAGTGCTGTTATGGAATTATTGGAGGAATTGAAGAATAGGGTCGGAAGAAAGAGAAGGAAATGTGGAGAAAGAAATGGAGCGGAAGAGCAGGAGAAGAGGGCTTTGGATGGTCCAAAAGATGGCTGTGATCAGTTGCAGGAAACTTGCAACAAGAAAAATGATGGGGGAAATGGATGTGACGACGACGATAAGTTCAACCAACGGAAAGAGAGACGTGGTAGTGCGGCTAGTGCCCGGTAGACTATCACCATCACCTTTACTAATGGATGGAATTATCAGATTGTCACAAATATTTTCAACTTGTTGAGTGTAAGAAATGTTTGGTAGTCCATATTAAACAATATTATATATGTAAAATGATTTGTACACGGCAATAGGCAATTCAAGTGCCACTTAGTTTTGCCTAGACAATGAATCTTGATTTAGTAAATATATGCTTCTTACATTAGATTATTTGGCTAAATTTCTTCAACAGATTGTCTTCCAAGATTTGCATCTATATATTTTTGCCTTAGATTGTCACACATATATATCCTCTCATCCTACATTTGTCTCCTTAGATAGAAAATATTGGGTATTTTTTTCCTCCTTAGTATTCGTTAATTTTAGCTGGGTGATATGAAATTGCACCTAATGGCACATCGGTTTGTAGTTCTTGATTGGAAATGTTGGGCATTTAGACTAGCGGTGTCAAAGTGAGAAGGCACGACCCCACCAAAAAAAAAAAAAAAAAAAAANAATTTGGTATATTCTCTTTTACCTTATGTAAATTGTAATTCTTATTGGAAATTATGAGGATTTTGCATGTGATAACTAAATTTTGTACTATCAATGATAAATTCGAACAGAATTTGAAGTTCAACATTGTGGAACTTGATATTGCTAAATAAAATCTGATGGTTTTGTTTTCCCAAAAAGTAAAGAGGAATTTGAAGTTTAACCGTGAGTAGTGTCATTTTGACTAATTTGATTAGTAGATTACAAAGTACAGTAAAATTCATAATGAATTTGAAGAAACAAAGGGGAAACAGCTGAACAATATGAAGATTTTCATGTTGGATAAAGAGAGATTTACAGTGGAAAGTATAAGACAAACTTATGATGAAAAATGATATCCTTATTTGTTTTTATTTTCCAACTGAGTTGAAAAGGTAAATTTGCATCATACATTTTAGCCTGGAGATGGATTAGTTTCTACTTTCTACCCAACACCATCATCTATATTGTCCTTGTAAAGTTGTAAACAAGCTTCTTGCATTCCTGTGATATATTTCGACTCGACTCGAAGTTGTGAGTAACATTCTGGTCAGTGATTGAGGTTAATAGTTAATTATATAAGAGCATCTTCAAGACACCGTTAAAAATAAAATTCTCTTTATTTTAAAGAGTCAATTTTTAAAATTATACTCTAAGAAACTCTTCAAATTAATATTTTAAAATATAGGAATTCAAAGTATTTCAATTTTCAATGAAAGAAAATAGTATAATATTTTGGAAAGAAGCTATTGAAAATAAAATATAGAGAAAAATAATAAATATATTTTGAGAATTGTAAAATTAAGTGTTAAATATAAATATCCTATTAGAGTAGTAAAAAATTTTCTCTCTAAATTACTAAATATACTCTTAAAAAAAAGGAGATGGTATCTTAGAGATGTTTTAAGATTGTTAATTCTAGATATATTTTTAAAATTACGAAATAAGGACAATCTTAGTGTGGTGTGACATTTGTGTTAGATGCTGACTCTTTTCGAACATCTTATTGTAGTGTCTTAAAAATCATGTGAAGACTGAAGTGTTATTATTATTTAAGGCTAAAAAATTCACATCATATTTTTATAAATGCACCACATTTTAATTACAAAAAATTTCATAATCTTTACTTCATATTTCGAACTTTTTCTTTAATCGCATTCTTATTCTCAATATTTTATTAATTAACACATCACATCATTGACGACGATTTCCGTTGAAAAATCTATTAAGGTGGAATAAAAAGACTTATTTGCTCACTGTTTAGTTAGCAATAAAATAACAGATAGAAAATTATGATTAAATATTTGTCCCCTATTTTAAAGAACGTTAATGAAATTTTTGGAAGAAAACTATTATTAACGACATGAATGTAATGAGAAAAATTTACGAACGTGAATGCAACAATAAATCTTAACAATAAACAAAATTATAATATGATGCATCTACATAACAAAATTATTTATATCAAGCTGCCGAATATATCTAATTTTCCTAAGTATCAATTTGTATCTAATTTAAAGATTCTTTTTGAATGGTTGATATTGATATGTCATATTTTTTCTTTATTATTATTATTATTCATTTGTTTGTACGCGATAATCATGGTATTTTAAAATATTATGATATTTCCTATATCAATGTCATATTTTGATGCAAGTTGGACTTTAAATTTTCTAGACTTGAGCCAAACTTTAAAAGATAGGACCTCAATCATAGTGTGCATTCAATTTTTTCTTCATAAGAATCCTTCCAAATTCAATCAATACACTCAAAGCCAAACATTATAATGAAAAACAAAATTTAAAGGGTAAGGCTGGGTTTCTGGTTACTTTCGACTTTCCAGTTGAAGAGACTTGTGTTTTGGGAGTGCTTTTCAATTGGATAGGTTTTTTCCCTTTTTTTTTTTTAAAAAAAAAAAGAAAAGAAAGGAAAACATTTTTTGTGCTTTAATATATTTTGGCATGAAGCATCACCTCTTGAACCTCATATAATGTGTTTACCTATTTTGACATCTTGATGACTTGATCAAATAAATTTTAAATAAAGTATGATTTATGCTAAAACAATTGTGCCATGATAGTTTAATTAAAATATTGGTTTTATAGATTTCCTGTAATATTAAAATAATATTTAATCAAATAATTATCTAGATATACGTTTTACAAATCAAAAGCACTTTTAAATGCTGCCAAAAAGTCAATTTAATCTTCACGATATTTTTATTTTTATTTTTTTTGTCAACCAAACAGTCATCAAGTTTTTAGTAACATCTCTTTTTCAAAAAAATTTATCAATAAAAGTTCGATTGTGCTACATGCTCACAATTGATGTGAAGAGATTTAATTAGACCAAAATCTCATTAAAAAAATAAATAAATAAAATCTCCACTCTCTTTTTAACACCTCGAGTTTGTAGAAGATTTTGTAAATGTTATGTATAACGAGGATTTTCCATAAAAGTTATACCCACAATAATTGTGCCAAGCGGACTCTAAGGGCGTGCAATGCTCCATTCTTTAAATATTAGAGTATAAAGTTAGGAAAATATATACTCTTATTCAAAAGCTCACATTCTAAAAGAAGGTCAATTTTACTATAACATTAAAGATAAGATGTCCAAATAGAATTTCGAAGAATTCATGTCAATGTGTTTGTGTTGTGTTGTGATCATGCTTCTTCGATTAAGAATACAATTAATTTGAGCACCAATTGAACCAAAAGCACCCTTTCTTTTGAAGAGTCGTGATATAATTCTCAAGAATAAGTATTACTGATTTATTGAATTTTTAGATATTTATGGGTTGTATTCTAAGATTGATTGTGCTGTAAAGAACAATTTTACGTAATGAAAACATTAAAAAATTATTTATTACTCTTTAATTCAGTTTATTATTACACGTCAAACATACCTTTAATTATTCTTAAAACCTTCTTATAATTTAGCATTTAAATTAAATCAATAAGTGCTGCATTTCACAGCTTATCTAATTGATCATTGCAGCTCACAATAATATGTTCCTCCATCATGAAAATTAAGACTGGGGATGTCATTTTCTGCATCGTCCAAAGACAAAAGACACGACAAAAACACCCCCACCCCCACCCTACCCCTAGGGGCCAATAGGGTCATACGAATAGAAATTATAGAATACCAGTTCATTAATTCAAACCAGATATATTCTTGTGAATTTGGAGGTTTTTGGAATGAATTCATTAGTTATTTGAACATCACATTAATTGTATAAAGGATTTTTATGTTAAGTAACTTTTATTGCCGTTGTAAGATTAAGGATGTCATCATGTATTAGATTAGTTGGAATGTTTTAACTACCAAGTGTACTGTCATCACTTGGAAAGAAGTCAACCCATGTATTCCCTCCATTCTAGTTAATATATATCATCGTTGACGTTGAAATTGGCGCGACTTTAGTTAATGTTGTGAACTTGAAATCATTGAAAACTAAGTATCGGTTGGTCAGTTAAGCGATTCAAAGTAGAGGTAACTGGGTTGGCTCTTATAATCAAGTTGCGATAATAACGCTAATAATCTAATAGAATTTTAAAGAAAGGCTTCCTGACATCAAGTGCCTTGCATTGCCATAGGATGAGTTTGGCTTCTTGTAACCTTTCAGCTTTCACTACAAGAATTAGGTTCTTCTAGCTCGCTTGAAAATTATGACTTGGTTAAATGTCTAATATCTGAAAGTAATCTCTCTCGATGCATTCAGTAAATATTGCATCAATTCTCAATTGTAACAAGAAAAACTTGCTTGTTTGATGAATAAAATAGTGAAAATAAATTGAACTTGATTGTCAAACTTTTCAAGATAGGAACAACTTCTTTTGTGGAGCTTCAAATATTTGAATCGGGAGTTGATGGCTTGTGGTAAAAGTAAGAGAATAAATTATATGCCTAATCCTTAAAGCATGGGGACAATACCAAGAACTCATTCCTTTGCTTTAATCTTTCAACGATTAAAAGAAAAAGTTCCATAAAATGTACCGTTCAATTTTAATAAGCGAAAGATATCCTAAGTTACTAAATTACTACTTAAAGCTAAAATTAAAATTTATATGAGGACGTAAAAAAAGAAAGAGAGGGATGGGGCTTCTCGCTTTCCATCTCCATTCGAGCTAAAATTGATTATTGTTCCTATACAGTTCAACTATTATCTATGTTCAAGTCCTGGAATTTCTTGGATCTTCAAAAAGACGACTTTGTAAATTTCAGTATGAGTAATGAAGGAAGGAGATCTTAAGGGAGTGCCATGCCGCTAGTCACCCACGGAGGACACTGGCCCTTATCCTTTGAATTGTCACTCTCAAAATTCATTAAGATAAATCGTTTTGTAATTTTGACCTGTGCAAATGGAAGATATGCATTATTCTTCTAGAAGTTGAGGAGAATCAATGGCAACTTGTTTCTTTAGTCAAAAGAGAAGGATCTTCGACTAAAAATGTACTTCAACTCAACAATGGCCATGTATATGAGAATATTGGACTGAATTTAGAATCAAAATACATAAACTCTGTCCATTGGTATCATAAGTTTGATTTACAGAGAAATTGAAGATGGATTACATACCAAATGCAAACCATATATTCGCACTAACATAGTATAAAGACAGTGATTCCTTTCCCATTAATGTTTCATCAAATTGGAGGAAATATATGTTCATATAATTCAAACCATAAGAGTAAAGTGAGTAGGATTGTTCTGGCTATATCGTATCTCGAATCGGCATGATAAAACTTTTGGGTTGTATTGGGACATGCATCTTTTGTAATTCACGTAACCACATGGAACTAACGACCAAAGAACTCTTTGGCTTTCAGGGTCTTTAGGAGAGATTAAGCTTTCTATAGAAGATCGTTGGCCCGCCGGACAGATATCAACAGCACTTAGTAGTGAGAATTGGATGTCACTTGTAAATAAAGAGTTACACAATAGTTTATATACAGATAATATGTCAAAAAGATAATGGAGTAATTTTTTTTTTTAATTTGGTTGAAGGAAATTTGACCCAATTGTATTTCGCCAAATCATATGTATGTAAATCATTATATAAACAATTATGTATATGCAGTACAAATGCATTAAATGCATTATGTTATGCACAAGCACTTGCTCAAACTCGCCTTAAAGTTGACGAGTGATTGCAAGGCTAGCAAGAAGCGGGTTTGCGGACTGATGAATTGAGCCTGGCCCAAATCATATTAAATGAGGGTCGAGCCTAGCACTAGCCCTGAAAAAAGTGACCAGAAAAGCCCAATTTGCACTTTCAGCCCAAAGCATAATTTGGCATACGATAGGAATACCATAAGTAAAATGGAAAATTGCAGCTATGGTAGTAAATCTTTCGATTTTATGCAAACTTTGCCTAAATCTTCATTTTGTTGCGTCCACGATGCCAAATCTTTTAAAAATTCACACTCGGAGTCCAAATGAATTATTTCTATTAGCTTGGCTGTTAGTTGAGTCGAGAAATTGATTTTGACCAATTTTAAATGGGTAATATGAGAACTTTGAACTAAAATAAAATAAAAATAAAAATAAAAAAAAGCCAGCCCACCCCACGTCTAAAAAAAATTAAAAGAATGTACTTTTCATCCCCCAACACCCACCGTAAATTAACCTACCCCAAATTCATCATCTCCTTCCAATCAATGTCATATACGATGTGAATAATCAAGCTGTTGTTGGGTAGCATTTCAGCTCTCACAAAAGCAAGAGGAGGCCCACTTGGGCCATTAGAGGATCACATTAGATGTAAGAACAACATTTTGACCATTAATTACAATTAATGAAATCACCCCAGTTGCTACTTTAGGGACAGAATTACGAGGCAATTGAGCAGCAGTCGGACCAATATGCTATGTACCCATAGTCATTCGAGTATGAATATGAGTTCATGCAGTTAAATTTGTGGATTGAACAATGGGAAAACCATATTGGATATAAGAGCCATTGTTCAAATGCGTCTGGACGCGAAATCCTAGAAAATTCATTGATGTTTTTGCCCCATTTTGTTGACACCATCATATTGAGCGCTTGTGGTGTAGGAGTCGACTGGTGGTGGTCTGAGAGGGTGGATGTGGCCATAAGGTGTGAGTTTCAGCCAACTTAGATCACATTGACTTAGAAAGAAAATGGTTTCTAAATAGATTTCTTGCTTGGTTTGATAATGATTTGTGATTTAGGATGATAAAATTCATGATAAGATGGCGAATTTTGTGGTGGAGGAAATACGCAGCGCGACGACCACAACTATGATGATTGTGGGTTAATTTGGGTGTAAAGGAGATGGTAAATAGTGCTTTTTTTTGGTTGGGGCTAGGCTTAGTTTTTTTTTTTTTTTTCCTGGTTTCTTTTAATTGAAATTTACAATTTTGCCCCTTTAAAATTGGTCAAAATCAATTTCTTGAGTCAACTAACGATCAAACTAGTAGAAATCATCCATTTAAACTCCGAGTGCAAGTTTTTAATAAGGTTGGTACCTTGAATGCAACAAAACGAAGATTTAGGCAAAGTATGCTTAAAATCGAAAAGTTTGGTACCGCATTTGTAATTTTTTCTAAGTAACATTACACAAGCAAAATCCAGCAATTGATATTGAACTTGAGTTCCTCACTGCACAAAAGAACACACACACACACACACACTATATTCCATATCTTTGCATTTATTTTGTAAAAACACAATTTAATACATTTATTTGTCAAGGACATTCTTTAAACAATTCTAACAGTAATATAAGCTTCCCGAGTGCTGCATTTTTATCCTCAAAAGGTTAGGTTGGACATGCCTATAAAGAACTAATGAGGGTTGTTGCAGGTTGAAAGAACTTAAAACTTTATCAATCCTATATCATTAATCCAACAAATATTGTGAACGGATGTGTATTAATTGAGGATAGCATAATTTGAGGAAAACCAGAAATTTCACAGGCACGTGTAAAATAAAACTTAAAAGGAACACTGCCATAAGATGATGTAGGTCAGTGGATGCATGTTTATTTGGCTTTTAATCCATTTAACTTGGAAGTTTGTATGTACCTGACCCCATTAAGAAAGCTTATGAAATATCCACATATATTGGAAATTGACATCATTTTTTGTCTATCAACTAGTATCATCTGTCAATTTCAAAGTAAAGTTTTCTTTAGCGAGTAAATGACAAATCAAAATCATTGAAAATTTCCCTCGTGTGAAGCTCGTGTATTAAGTTCACTAGAATTGATAACTTCTTCCTACCTAATGCAATTACTAAGAGATTGAACTGCAGTATCAAACAACCTGAAAATGCGTAAATGTTACTCTCTGCATACAGGCATTGATGACATAATTCAGAAAACATGATCTAAAATACTAGTGGTTTCTCTGTGTCAATCGGTAAAAACTGAGTATGATCGGCCGCAGAGTTTTACAATGTTCACCAGCACATGGAAACACGATATACTGATGGGCATCAAGAAAATAGTAACAATACATGACGGGTGCTTTAGAATGTAATGTGCAAAAATTGAGACTATGGCAACCTGTGTAGCGGTTTACATTGGTTCCACAAATCATGCATAGTTACTGCCGATGGCCTGTCTCACCAATACTCTTTGAATGTGTACATATGCATGAAAATGTAGATGCATGAGTCAGTGGTCATTTTGAACAGCGGACACAATCTCCAAAAAACAATTATCTGACAGAAACAAATTAACTACGAAAAAAATGATATTGATGCCCTTCCAGATGTGTGAAGCTTTAAAATCACATAAATATCTTATCATTGATAACAAGCAAAAAATTTACATCTTCTTCAATCAGCTAGATAATTTGCCTTTCAAAACTGATCCACATTGCAGTCGAAGAAAAAATAGAGTACAGATATACAATTACTAGATTAAAAGTCAATAAAATAATTATCAAAATAACAGTAATTAAATTGACAGTTTGTATGTATCTCAATTCAAAGCATAACACTTCAATATGCAGTTCTCCAGAAATTTACCAGAATTGCTGCTTATCTCCTAGCAATTTAATTTGTTTGCGTAAATGGATCGAGTGTACACCATCTGGTCCTGCATTTTTAAAGTCAATTGTCATCTATTAACTCCAAAAACCCCTTCTCTTTTAATAATAAATTCGCAAGAACAATCTGGCAAATGTGGGGCAAAAATAACCCGAATGAACCTCCTTGCCTTCATATCCCCAATGTTGCCACCTTCCTCTTCAACTCTCTCCTCTACTCTCCATAAAAACAACCTTATATTCACACAATTCGCCCATGACAAACCCAAAGCCGGGCAAACTCTCCTCCCAGACGAACACAAGAATCCCGAATTCCCAATCCTCAAATTACCCGAAGACTCAATGACATCCACTACTTGGTTAGTCACCACAACAGCCAGCCCAAATTTTTGAGCTTGGTATTTTAATTTTGAAGATATGTTAAAAAACAAGCTCGATCTCCGCTTTAATTCGAGTGGGGTGTTTTCAAACTCCGAGCGGAACAATGCTGCTACAGAATCAATAACAATTAGCCTAATATTCAACTGGGAAACAATATAATCTAGGCGGGACAAAAGGTCGAGCAGGTGGTCGGGGGAATGGAGGGGTTGGATAAAAATGTGGTCCAGAGGATTATTAGGGATATGGGATTGATAAAACAGCGAGAGTTGGTGCAGGCGGCGGAAGGGGAAGGGAAATTCAGAGTGCAGGCATAGGGATGAAGCAGAGAGGCCCCCACGTGCGGCGGGGAGTTGGGCGGCGAGGAGGAGCTGGAGGGAGAATTGGGTTTTCCCAACGCCGCTCTCGGCGGCGATTTCTGTTATGGTGCCGCAAGGGATACCGCCACGGAGGAGGCGGTCGAGAAGGGGGCAGTTAAGGGTCAATTTTGGGGTTTGGGTGGGGAGTGGGTGGCGGAGGAGGTCTTCTGGTTTCATTGTTGTTGCCAAACTCTGTGAAAGTTTGAATATAAATCTGTGAGGAAGAAAGGCTCCAAACTAGCTCCTCCTTTTTCCTCCGTTTAAGACACTAAGCCCCTGTTTTGATCCCCATTAAGTAGAAAATTTAATGGCGGGAGTAGTATTTTTTTGAAAAAGAGTAGTTGAAAAAGAATGAAAAATTTTCGATTTACGTATAATATTATTTTATGAAAGATTGTATAGTTGAAAATAGAAAAGAGAAAAATGAAATATAATAGAATTTAATGTAATTGGCTCAAACAGGGGCTAAAAATGCCTTTATGAGTGCGTTTTGCAAAGCTCAAAAAGTACTTTCTGAAGGGCAAAAGTTGTTTTCGTTAAAATAATGAATATTTGAGCCCTATTTGTCATCATTTAAAATTTTAAATTGTTTGCTACGGAATTATTTTTCACTTGTGATGGTAAAAGCACATGCCCTGAACAGCTTGGTGGGTGGGCATCGCTGGGTGTGGGTGGGGCGAGGTAGGGGCGAACTCGTCGAATGAAGGAAAAAAAAGATTACAAATAATTTTATTTCTAAACAATTCACCTATTAAAAACTCATTTTGAATTTATATTTTATTATTTAATAATAACATAACTCAAAATTTTGAAAATATAAAAAAATAATAATAAATAAATAAAACGGGGCAAAAAGTTGCCCCGTCCCATCTAAGGCGGGGAAGGCGCGAGGTTTGGACTCATTGCCATCCCTATTCTCCACCACATATTTACAAAATAAAATCTTTTACACATAAATAAAAAAAAATAAAATTCTTACTGTTTAACCACACATTATCCAAAAAGTACTATTTAATAACTCATTATTCCCAAATAAATTCTATCAAATAGACCCTTTGTTAATTAAAGTGAAAATTACATAATTCCAGGGTTTAAAAATGATAATTTAAAATTCTGGGATGAAGTTTCATTTATCCATAAATTAGATATCAATATATACAAACTCTAACCCTAAATCATTTTAATTTTTTTTCTCCCTCTTCTCTCTACCTCTCTCCCTTCTCTTCCTCATTTTCTCTTTGGTCTTTCTCTTCTCGGCAACCCATTCAAACTCTAACAAATTGACGACGATAGAGCGGCGAAGCGTGCGGTGTTTGTAGTTCGTTAACGCAGCTTCACAATGTTGCTATCCTTTGGGTTTGGGGTTTTTTTCTTTTTCATTTCGATTTGAGGAGGTTGTGGCAACGGCGATTTGGGGATTGTGGGATAGATCTAGTGGTTGTATTTACATGAGTGGTGGTGGCTCTACCCAGCACGACTTTGATTTTGGTGTGTTTGGTGGTGGCGATCGTGATGGTTTCTGGCGATGGTGGAGGTGTTAGTGTTGGTAGGGGTAATGTGGATGGTGTTGGTAAGGTTGTGAGTTAGATATTGTTGGTGTGTTTGATAGTGACAGCAGTGGTGATTTCTGGCAATGGAGGTGGTTGTTGGTGGCTATAGTTGTCCTTATTTTTGTTGAAATTTGATTTGATTTGGTGACGACGATTTGTTGGTGTTGGTGGTGGTGCCGTTGTGGTAGCGACGATGGTAACAGTGGTGATAGTGGTATGTGACCAATTATTTAATTATCTGTGACCAATAATTTAATTGTAACCTAAAATTTTGATAATCCGCGATGAATTAATTAATCTTAAAATGATTTGTGACGTTTAGAATTTTTATTTGAAACCTATAAAATTTTTGATTTGTAATCTCGAAATAATCCGTGACTAATTAATTTGATGATATATGACCAATAAATAAATTGTGACATATAATTGTGTAGCTGTGATCATTAATTCTATAACTGTGACTTTATTATATTTAATTAATAACTATTTTTAATTAATTAGATATATACCTGAATTTTGAAATTATTTACTTGACTTTTGAATTGGTGAAAATAATACACTTGAGTTATGAATTTTTTCCTTAATTAAAAATTAAAAGAATGGATCAATCCTTTTATCAGCCCAAAGGCCTATATATTTTCAGTCCATTGGGCAAAACTCTCGAGGCCCTGAAAACTTCAGGATCCAAATGGATGCAGTCCTTGGAATCTTTTGTCCATCTTTTATAAGTCGCAATTTTTTTACAGATAATTATTGAATAATTAATTTTCGAGTTCGTTAAATTTGAAAAATATGAACATGCATAAATTAAATACCATATATTAAGGTTTTATAACGAAACTCAATCTCCATTTTTTATTTTTATTTTTAAATCATTCCCTTATGCTTTGAGAGATTTATTGTCACTTACAACGATGATAATTGCTGACGATAATAACTAACAAATACTTATTTTATGATATGTCACTATTTATGTACTAGGTAGCTAGATGTTAAATGTTCTTTCCTCGCCCCCAAAGTTAGAACAATAATTTGTATACTCATTTAATAGAGTTACGTCAAATTGGACATTATTTTCACAAACAGATTGACCAATTGGGTAATTTGAACTAGGAAAAATGCTTCTTGTGCATATTTATTTACATAATTTATAATGACGAGATGTCAAAATATAAGTGAAAAAGTTATTTAATCGAGATTTTGATCCAATAAAATATCGTCACAATATCTATTTATAAATCATTATATAAGTTGTTATGTACCTATAAACACAGCCGTTTTAATTAACTTCAGTGATTAAACGAGTCAAAAAATACATTAAAGACCAATGATATAACATCATTAATTTTAGTGACTAAATGAATCAAAAGAATATTTTTAAGGTCCGACTTGAAATTCCAAGCTAATTTCGGTACCCAACTGTGAAATTACATCTTTAGTTTAACAACACTACCTCGATATGTCACCTACTATGAAAACCAAGCCTTTGCTTGGCAAATGTTTACAAACAGCCTTTTCTTTTTCTTTTTTTAATAAATATATAATTAATAAATGATGAATAAATGAATATTATATGTGAATCCCAAAAAACATATGTGAATAAAAAGTGATTCAACATTTAATAAGTGATTATAAATACTTGTCAAATATATTCTTACTATTCCTTTGGTCCAAAATTATTCTCTTATAATTTTAATTAGGAATTTGAAGAGAAGTATATTCTTTGTTTTATCTAAGAAAGAGATTGAAAGTTGGATAAATATTTGTAATCGAACGAAGTATATATTAATATTAACTATAGTGCACGTTAACCAAATTGATTATGGAGATATCAATACTTGAATCCTTGATTTATTCAAAAGAAATGAGAGATCAATCAAATTCACACCATATAAACTTTTCATCACAAATTCACTGATTTTGCTATTTATCGCCTAACTTGTTTCAAACAATATAATAAAATGTAAGCCCATGTTTGATTCTCATTCTTTGGCCACAAAAATAAAAAATATGACCGTTATTCATCACATCAAGCCATCATATTTAATTTTCTATTTCTTGTGTAGGTTTAGTAACGACTATATTTTTCATTTTCATTCTTGCAAAAATGAGTACCAAACGGGTCTGTGAAATTGCTTGCAAGCCCATAATCCACGCAATCAACAAATCACAACCATGGAGGAGAGTCCCACCAATATTATGCCAAAATGTAGCTCAACAAACCTTTGCACTGCTTTAATTGTCGTAACAAGAAAAATGAGCTTTAGGAGCAAGTTTGGCTAAGATTATAAAGACAACTTTAACTTCCCAACTTATAAGTGGCCATTTAATTATACCTGTAGATAATATACGACTATTAAAAGTAACTTCACTTTTTGATAAATTTAGCTAAATTTATTAAAATTTTGATAAAATTCGATGAAATACGTGATTAAGAAGTTGTGATCTTATTAAAAAATAATTATTTATTTTGATTTAAATTTTTAAATCAATTTTTTAATTGATTAAAAACGGGATTTACATTTTTTAAGTTTGACGAAGTACAAGAATATTCATGTCGAAACTTTCTTACTCACTTTATTGAACTTTTTCCAAACGTGTTAAATAGAAGTCCAATACAGTTGCCGCCAGTCTAATTTCCAATCACCCACCCCTCAAAAGAACAAAATTACTCTTCAATACCCGTCAACCTCCAACTAGCTCAATATGTATAGGGGCAAAGTTGTAACTTCACCCAATGAGGATGCCGGTACACCTACGTGGCAGAAACTTGGCGGCTTATTACTTTACAGGAAAAATTGTTCTATTGACCCTAACCTATTGTACTAGTAGCAAATTGCTCCCCATTCTTCCATTTTAGTTGCACAATCGACTTCCAATAACGAGACCATCCAATTTTTCTATTAATTGTCGCATGGATTGCCCGATTTTATGAACGTAAGATTTTATTTCCTATCTTTGACTCTTGCAATTTATAAATGAGATCTATTTTCATGATCACCTCACGACAATTTGATAAATATTTCGAATTATTTTCTACTTATTGTGCAATGATAAAAAAAATTTAGAAATATTTCTCAATGACATAACTAAAATGTTTCTTATAAGTTCTTGCTACTGATTAAATTCAATCTAAAGAATTTGGGACTTGTAATGTATTTCATGTCAACCAATCCCGAGGACCCTTCATGTATTGTGTTAGGTATCAAAGACGGCACTTGAACGCTAAGTTTGGCTCTCCCGTGATAAAACACGAATATTTTCTAATTTATTTGGTCTAGTTTCTAAAAGTCCAAGACTAATATGCTATTGAGACAGTATGATGAGGACCAAAATTGAAATTTTGACTTAATTTATGTTGCACTTTTATTTGGAGATTGCAGAATTTGCAGGTGTAAAGTGCATGATGAGAGAGATGAGTCACCCTCTCCTGGTTTTGGAGTGAGGGAGTAATACGATACTGTACAATTCTTAGACAGAAATCTGTATCTATCTTTATCTATACATGCATATGCAAGTGCTTATCTGTGTGTGATAAAAAAGAGGGAAGAAAGGGAAAAAAAATTGCATAGGGATTTTCTCATTTCCATCGAAAATTTCATCACCGGACCCGCCGAAGATTGTGAAAAATTTTAAAAATAACATTGTTGTTTCCGTCTCTTCCTCTTTATTTTTCATTAATCAATTCAAATTGAACTACTTTTACTTCTTTTTCAGGAAATCGAATTAATTTCTGGGTGCTCTATTTTTCTTTATAAATAAGTTTCTTGTTTATCTGCAAATAGAAATGGCAAATGCATCTGGGCTGTATACAGCAACGCTGCCTACTGTGAGGAGGAGATTTACTCCATCTACAGGCATTTATAGATCTGGGTTTTGGTTTTCTGAGGGTGTCTCCAAGAGAATAATGTGTTCCAGCACTGTCGAAGGTGCAGATAAGCTCTCCTCTTCCGAATCTAGAGTTCCCAGGTAACTAGTTCTTTCTGTAACTTTAATCTTTGCCCAGTTTTTTAAACTTTCGTTTTGCGAGTTTATAATTGACAAAAGGTTTTATTGGTGTCGATTTTATATTTCGAAGATTTTGAGTTTTTGGATGTGGATTCGATTTGAGTTACTTACAATTCGTAAATTATTGAGGTTTTGTAATTGAAGTGTTTGCAGTTACGTCAATGTCATTGAAAACTACTGGGTGAATGTGGTTAAGGAGGGGGGGGGGGTTGGACAATCGACATTTTCAGCTGTATAATTGAAGGTTGTTGCAGGGAAAGTATTATATGGATTGGAACTTGACAATCCATGTGCCTAAACTGTCGTCAGTAACATTATACAGAATTGATCTTCATCAGACGCCCGATATATGTGCTGGCGTTAGGAGTTATTATCATCGTAATGCAAGAGTAAACTATGTCGGATAAGTAGTTTTTCAACTTGCTCGGGGTGGTGAAGATAATTAGCTCATGATATAGTCATAAGGTTGTTTGGAATTGTTGTTTATTCTTATGGTCGTAGTAAAATTACTAGCCAAGGTTATTGGCTCTGTACGGGTGTTCTTAAAAATGGATTCACAGGTGTAAGCATTATAACATTTACACATTCCTTATATGAGCTGGTGTATGCATGAGTTGGATGAGGTCCTGTGAGAAGTGAATTCTGTTACTGAGTGATGGTTTTATTGTAAGCTGTATTCTTTGTCTTTGTTAGAATGCATTGAAGATTAACTATTTTTAACATCTCTCACAATTTTAACTAATTAACAAAAAAATTGTACTTGAAAAATGCTTATTTTCGCAAGAGATATCAGGTTTAATTTTCGTATTATGTAAATGATTTTATCCACGAGTAAATATAGTGCCGTTATTTTCACTTTTATTAAAAAGAACAACCAGTTTAGACGAGACATTCCTTTTCAAACATATGGTATAATAATTATAGCATTGCATATTAAATAATTGTTATATACAACTATTATGATATTATGCATGTTCGAGCATTTATCATGACTCAAGTCTATTACTGATGCGTGTGCATGGTAAATGTGCCATCAGAAGTTAAGTCAATTGTTAAAAAACTTTAATTTTGCTACAGAAAATTCGGTTCTTGTTCTGATATCCTTGACTGATGACTTGTTTAAATGGCCTTTTTAGTAATATTTTCTGTTTGAAAAGCTTTGCATCTTTGATATTAGTTTGTGGTGTCTCTGTTATTATGGCCTCTTTCAAAAACTATCTTTCCTGCATCACACGATTCATATCATGAAATTGAGGCAAATTGGTTGTCTTTCTCTAATAGGGTTGATGTTTCGTAGCATTAGATGGTTAATGCTTGCATCTGCTCTCTGAGTTTGACATTAAATTTGTGCAGGCTTGTCAGCAGAGGCTGCAAGTTAGTTGGATGTGGTTCTGCCGTACCGGGTCTTCAGATTTCTAATGATGATCTATCAAAAATTGTTGATACTAATGATGAATGGATATCTGTTCGGACAGGAATTCGAAATAGAAGAGTACTTTCTGGTAAGCTTTTCCTTACACTTGATGCTTGTTTGCTCTTGTCATATGTGTAGAACTAGGTTGCTTAAATCTTGAGCATAAATCCTACAAGTAGTTCTAGGTTACTTGAGCAGTCTTGTCTATACTTTCTAGTTTACTTATAAAAACTCGAGCAGAAGGGCCACAGGCAGGTATTATTTGATGGAAACTGGTTGTAGTTATGTTCACAATCAACGGTGTTATTGGTTTATATGTGAGTTATACATTCGTGTTAGCAGGTTTGAGTATATTTGGGTTTTAATACATGTAAAAATATCACCTTTTTGCTTATCTATTTGGGGATTTGTTAAGGAAAATATCTATCTATAAATTCCGCGATGCGTAAAGCCACTTTAGTGTAGCTGCATTGTACATTGATATGCCTAAGAAAAAATTTGGGAGGTACTATCCTTCCTCATCAATTACCATTTGGCAGTTGTTTAAAGATACAGTTGATGAAAGACCAAGAAACTTAGCCATGAATAGTTGGTTGATTTGTTTTTTACAATAGAATTTTTTTGCTAGAAACTCAAGTAACTAATGTAGCAATATGTGAGTAATTCTGATTATCTGATTGATAAATTACTATTGCCAAGATATACTTGTTATGATCCTCTTCCACTTCTAAGATAAGTGGCCTGAGCTCAATAAAAGTTAAGCCTGCTTAGGCTCATGCTGTTTTTCAAATGAGAATCAGGTTTTGTAACACCTTTCAAGTCAAGCTACTCATAACTATGATCACCAACCAACATTCAGGACAAATAGCTGGGCTTCCTGAAACTTATCCTTCCTTCTTTACGGGTAATTATAATATGTAAGAGTTCTATTTTATGTTAGGATTCTTTATGTTGCGGGTTGTGGATTTTGTAGAGCATGCAGGAGTGATATTCTAAGTATTCAAATACTACTTCGCTTTTATCTAACCTGCTCAATTACAGGGAAAGATAGTTTGACATCTCTGGCTGCAGAGGCAGCAAAGAAAGCACTCGAGATGGCAGAAGTTGATCCTGATGATGTGGATCTTGTATTGATGTGCACTTCAACTCCAGAGGATTTATTTGGCAGTGCTCCTCAGGTGCACATTTGTAATCCATATTGTGAAATTTTGTTTTCCTATTTTCATTTGTCAAGTTACTGTGGAGGATATGGTGAGATTAGTATTCTAAAATTAATTCAAAAAGAAGGATTTGTGCTGAAGGTAAAATATCCTTTAACAATTTGCTTCTCTAGCAGCGCAAGTTTTTAGATGAGGTAGTTTAATATGACATTAGAGCATGCAGAACTTCTCTGTTCAAGTTTTATTACCATCCACTTATGAAAATTTGATTGTCAGGCTTTTGATGAAAAGATTAATCTAGTGTCATGAAGATGAAGAAGTATGTTGAAGATAAAATATAAATAAATAAATTTCTTTTTCCTCTTAACGAATAACGACATAAATTTTTAGTTGAGGTAGTTTCAGGGCCCTTTAGACTTAAGGATAGGAATCTCTTTAGTGCTGTTAGTATGAATTGTACAGGGTAAAGTTGGCTGCATACGATGGAGACATCATAGCATCAAAATCTAATGTATGCTTTTGGCACAATTATATTGTGGCTGTCTCCATGTTAAAAATCAAGTGATGCATTCTTCATTTTATCAAGACACGTGCATCTTTAAACCACAGTCCTACTGTTTTGGCTAGTTTTCTACTCATATTCTTCATATTTTGTCTAGTTTGTCAAGCATTATTATGACTCTTATTGCTTAATTTGCTTCACATTTGCGCTATGAGCTCATATAATGTATAGGTTACTTTACTTATTTGGTACTGGAATTTTTCCCCAGGAATCTTATATGTTCCTGATAATTGTTTGATGTGCCAGATTCAAAAAACACTGGGCTGCAAAAATAATCCATTGGCTTATGATATCACAGCTGCTTGCAGTGGGTTTGTGTTGGGATTAGTCTCAGCTGCTTGCTACATTAGAGGTAAAAATTCAGTACTCCACAGTCCATGTCTAAGAGATCATTAACTGTATAATTTGCACTAGCATTCGGATTCCAATAGTAATCAGAATTGAAATCCTGTTGCTGTATATTGCAGGGGGTGGCTTTAAAAATGTTCTTGTGATTGGGGCTGATGCTCTTTCTCGCTATGTTGATTGGACGGATAGAGGATCTTGCATTCTCTTTGGTGATGGTGCTGGCGCCGTGTTGGTGCAGGTACTGGGTGCTATCTTTTTAGTGCCATTTGTTCCGGTTGGTTTTCCCAGTAAGGGATATTAAAAAGGAAACAAAAAGGAGGAGGATATACTGCGGTAGTCATTGATTTGAAGTCAGTTCTTCATTTTATGCCTTTGGGATTTGATTCTTTCTCACTTTCTGCAGTGTTCTTATTTCAATATTAGTTTTTGAATTATACATACATATTGAAATCCATTTCGCATTTGCATTTTCTGCATAAGCACACTTGTGAACATGTGCATGCATAAGCACGATTCATCCTTGTGTTCAGCGAAGATGCACCTCTGCTTTCTGGATTGTTTTGGGTCCAAATTTATGAATAATGGAAACAACAATGTCTGAACTTCAGAAAAATATGAAATGTATGAATATTTAAACAAAATTTCTTGAAACTTGAGGGTGTTGCCATGTACATGTGGAACATGGTCATGCTGGTAAACAGTTCTTAGCATATGCAGGCGATGACACTGATTGGTCATGTAACCAGAGAATCTCAAATAGACTATAAACTTAACCTTGAATAAGATGTCTGCGCCTACCACTCTACAAATTTTAGCAAATGAAACTGCATTTTTTGCATTGTTATGTCCAAAATTTGTAGTCTACTATCAAGTTGTTGAGTGGGCGTCAGCAAATGGTCTAAACGTCTACATATAATGCAAGACGTGTTGCACACTGAGATGTTGTGCACTATAACTAGGGAGCACCCAAAAACAATGGGTTTGTACTAGGTCCCGTCTTTCATTTCCTATGCTGCTGAAGTTCTTTGGCATGTGGATGCTGGAAGTTTTTTCCATATGTGGATGGTATAATGTTTGTCTGGTTTATATGCCATTATGTACCATTTGCACGTGTCTCTTGTGATATCCAGTACTAAAATTTGGATCTTTAGATTTTTTATACTTGTTGCATACTTTTGTCTTTCTACATATGAATGAACTAAAGTGTGGCGGTGTATATAACCTTGAACTATTTTTCTGTTTGCTTTGCGAGTCTGGTGTACTGGTTTATATACTTAAATAAAATTGAACATCCATTTGCTGAAACAAAAAAAAAAAAAAAAAAGCAAAAAGTACTTTTGTCTGTGAATGGTTAATATAAACTAGCAACTTGCATTTCTACATTATTTTTCTTAAAAGGTCTCCACATTGCTCGGAAGTAATATTATGGAGATAGTGAATTGTGCCAGAAAGTTATTAATTTTGCCAGCAAGTTATTTTATTTCTTCCACCAATATGCAGGCATGTGATTGTGAGGATGATGGTTTATTTGCATTTGACTTGCACAGTGATGGTGAAGGGCAAAGGTATGCCGGTTATCATTTACCAGTCATAAATTGTTGTCTATGTTGATCAACAAAAAGTATCTGCCTTTTGCAGGCACTTAAGAGCCACCATCATGCAAAATGAAGTGGATCATGTGCTGGGTACAAATGGTTCAGCTGTAGGATTTCCCCCAAAAAATTCCTCCTACTCCTGCATCCAGATGAATGGTAAGGAGGTCTTCCGCTTTGCTGTACGTGTTGTTCCACAGTCTATTGAATATGCTCTAGAGAAGGCAGGTCTCACCAGTTCCAACATAGATTGGTTGCTTCTTCATCAGGTATGAAACAGAGAACATATAAGATTTCATTCGTGAGACATTATGGTATGTAAAGGTCAAATGCATTCTGTTTTTAATTTGTATTCAAGACAAAGTGTATTATGGCTAAACCGCTAAACTTTAAAAGGATTTTGAAGTAAATAAAGTTCTAAAATAAATAAATTTTTATTGTTTTAAGTTTGCAACGAGTAAGTTATTTTGACAGTTTGGTAAGAGTTTCTTTCAAAACAAATAACCTTTTTTTTTAAGGAAAAAGTAACTTTTGCATGTTTGGAAGCAAAAAGTTATTTTCTGAATAACTTAAAATTTTGAGCATGGCCAAACGTTCTGTCAGGAATTTTCTTATCCTGTGATATTTATGTATAGTTGAGTTAATTGAGTTTTAACTAATGCTCTAGTCAAAATATGCTCTCCATCTCACTTCTGCTTCTGCTGTGCGTGAAAATGTAGGGAGATTCTATTATTTTTCAAGTATGTCCTTTTAAGTTTTCATATCATATTTATGTGCATGTATCGATCATGACTAAAAAGAGTTGGGATTGGTTGCATTTAGGCAAACCAGAGGATCATTGATGCTGTAGCGACACGTTTAGAGGTCCCATCAGAACGGGTTTTATCAAATTTGGCGAACTATGGTAATACAAGTGCTGCATCTATTCCATTGGCATTGGACGAAGCTGTACGAAGTGGGAAGGTTCAGGCAGGCCATACAATTGCAGCTGCTGGATTTGGAGCCGGGCTTACGTGGGGCTCTGCAATCGTTAGATGGGGATGAGGCCACTCGATTTACCGTTCTGAAGGTTTTAAAATCTGATTTCATTTCTGTGTCTAGTTAGCAGGGAAATGCAATGGCATAATCTCTTTCAGCTCCCCTTTTCTTTATTTTAGCCTTGTTACTATTGAAATTCAGCAACATGAATAAATTATATTGTCCAATTTTGTCATCTTGACTTCAACTTTCTGGTTTCTTTTTTCTGGAATCAATGTTAACTTGGGTAGTATCTTGCAATGGATGTTGTTTTTGGCTCAATCAGTTGTACATTTTTAGCACTCTGTTATCAGGTAAAACGTAGCATTTACATCCTTGTCATTTTTTATTTTTATTTTTTTTAGCACTTAGGTCCTCCCTAAATGGAGGGTTGTATTATTACTTTAGTTAACCAGTTAACATTTCGTTTAACAAACAAATTTTATAATGAAACTTCAAAATCAATATCGTAGGTAGTTGGGGACATCGGTGATTCAGTTCTAATTTTTCAAGCACTGAAATCACCTATTAAATTTCGAGTAATTTGCAAATGTAATCATTCAATTCCATGAAATTTTTGGAACCAAACCGCTATCAACAGTTCCGGTTCGAGAGGTTTGAATTTGATTAAAATATCCACCTCTAATAATATTAGAGATTAAAAAATTTAAATCAATAATAATTTAATTTGTCAAAATCATAACAAAAGGATTGATTCAAATCATGAGATCTCTGAACTATTCAGTATTGGGACGACACAACCATGACCGGATTATTAGAGTACTTTAGTGTATTCGTAATTTTTAATTTTCACATTTGAAGATGAGCTTGTGGCTTATAAGCAAAGTAATTTTTGCAATAAAGAGGTTAACCTTGTGGCACAAAATTTCCTAATAGACGTTAGCATCGTTTAGTCTTCAAAGAATAATGTTTTTCATAGTTGCTTACTGCAATAGTCGTCCTACATGAAATCCTACATGACGATTTGTGACTTAATGTATTAATATAGTAATTTCTTCTTGTCACACATATCAAATCACTAATTGCTACATGCATACCACATAAGACTACTGTGGCAATAAGTGATTGCAAATAACATTATTCATCTTGAAACTCACGACTTCCCTGTAAAGGGTAAAATGGGAAATCCACACTGGCAATAAGAAAGTTGTCCTGGGGCATCTTTGTTTGAGCCTCATTTTTATGTTAAAATGAATTTTGTAATAGTGATTTTACGAAAAATGAGTGATTAAAAAATAAGGAAATGTTTTGAAAATGAATATAGGAAAAAAAATGAATTATTGTATAATGGGGCTCAAAGAGTCGGACCCAAAAAAGAAACTAGGATAGCATGTCATTTCTTTCCTTCCACAATAAGAGAGGGGAATCAAGTTGGGACTTTCAAACAAGCACATGACCAGATCTGTAATTCAAACTATATGCAACATACCAGAGCCTGCAATAATGGCATAAGAAATTCAAAGCAGCCCGACCCCGGCAGGGAAAGGAAGAAGAGGACTCGGTAGAATGACATTTGAGAAGGAAGAAGAGGACTCGGTAGAATGACATTTGAGCATTTACTGTGACAATATAACAGTTGAATAAAAGCTCAAATACTCCATAACAGGTAATAATCGCCTCAGAAGAATTTTACCACAGTAGCAGAAATCCTCAATCTTGTACACAGCGTCTTGAATGTTGATTACACTTGATTAAGCAATAAAGCATTGACAGTTCTAATAAGGGTCCCCTTTCCATCCAAGTAAATAAAATATATCGAGGACAAGACGGTAAAAATAGTCTTGAACAGAGGTTGCCATTCCACTCCAGCCCCATATAGCAGTAGGGCACCTGCAGCAACAAATCAACAGGCTCTGAGATGTAGAAAAAGACGCATTCACCTTTCACGATAACAAAAGCCAACAGATTATTGAAATTAACATAGTTATTTTCCAAGGACATGAAATTCAGAAAGGCAAAAAGAAAAAAAGGGAAGTTCCGTATACATCAGGCTCGAGTAAAGATCAACAAGAAATTTACGTGGCACATTAATTAGAATGAATGTATTCTCTTAATTTGTGACTGAGATTCTTAATTTAGATCCACCAGAGAAACAAGTAAAATAAAATCAATAGGATCGAAGTTTCGGTGACGTGGATAAAAAGAATTATCACCAAAACACCACTAGTTAAACATTATAAGTCCAGCTATTATGCAAAATCTTTATTTCATCAACAAAGTGAAATCCATTATTAGAGAAGATTGAGTCTTTCCCAATCGTTGCAATGGGTGAAATCCATTGCTCTGAACAGACACAGCTAAACATACAAATGCTGAGACAAAAAGGAGAGGAAAATGAATAAACACGTGAATGTTTGCTTCAGTGTTTGAACTCCGAAACCTTTAAAATTTCCATCAAATGCAACATATACTACAATCTTGATGCTTATGTGAAGGCTATATAGATGAGGTTAGAAAAATACCTGTACATGATAAAAAGGGAATATCAATTTCGGCCTCCCAGGAGTACTCTCTGAGGATCAAGCTGCCCACTGCAATAACTTGAAGGCACAGCAGAAAGTTCCTGCCTTCCTCTCCACTCCTCACCAGGCTTCAAAGTGATAGGTTTTTCCACTGCAGCAGCCTCAACACACAGCATGTGCTTGTATTCATCATCTCCAAAATCAGCCATTGCCTTTGCCTTCTTATCCCAAGGATTCCATACAACTACAAGCGAAATACAGAAGCTCAATAGAAACTCAGTAACGTCCAGGTGAAAAAAAAGAAAACCATATTAGGTGCGGACCAATCATAAACTAGGTATATCACCAACTATTAATTTTAAGAGAAACAAATAACTTCAAGCACGGTAGGAAAATTGATTTTTCTAATTTTTTTTATTGATTATAGATAGAAATAAGATATTATATATTTATTATTATTGGTATTTGTAATATAGCCCCTGTTTGGCCCCCATTCTCATTCTTTTTCTCATTCTTATTTTCAACCACACAATTTTTCATAAAATAATATTACACTTAAATAAAAAACTTTTCATTCTTTTTTAACCACACATTTTTCAAAAAACACTATTTCAAGCATTAAAATTTCAAAAGAATGGGGGCCAAACGGGGGCATAATTAAGTTAGAAATTTTTTATACAGATTCTCTTACAATAAAATTTGTAATGTGGCATTCACAAGATAAGAGTCCCTTGATCCACAAGTCAAATGCTGACCTTCCCCCTTATTCTTACAGTAGGGTTAAAGTCAAAACCCTAAACCTTCAGTCCTCCTATCCCCGTCATCTATTTTTCATCCTATCTCTGGCCATGTTTAGGCCTGCCTATCGGGTTAGGGGCTGCATCCGCAAAACTTTTCAAGGTTCAGGAGCATTTCACATAAAGAAACAAATTTGAAACTACAAGTTTTCCAGGTGATATATCTTGGCAGCTGAAACTTAAGCATCAAAGCCATTAGAAAATAAAAATAAAACTGTAGGTTCTTGAACAAATGAAAAGAGATACTGACATCTTACCTGCATCAGGAAGCCCATCTTTACGGATCACAAATGTCCGTTTCTTTTCATGATCCAGAATTGCAATCTTTGTGGGAGTGCTGAGGTATATTTTGTCCACCTGATGGACATAGATTAGACTAGTGAGCACTTGAGGGTATTATAGCCAACATAAACAAAAAATTGAGGGGAAAAGAAGCCTTGATCTACAGAACTTACTTCTGATTCGAAAGTAATTGCATCCCCCTGTTCAGTGAAGCGTTGCTTGTTCTGCAGACTATCAAGATAATCTAGAGTTTCCAATCCTTCAACACGTACTTCACTGAATAAAATGAAAATGACATAATTAACTCAATTATGAAATATCAGACATGGGTTTGGATTAAAAAAAAAAAAAATTGTGTATTGTCAGTCAGTATACAATAGATGATTGAGACAACCATGAAGCTTATTATACTCTTTATAAATTATAAATAGGATTCATAAATCAACAGAAAATATAAAATCACGTAACTCCAGAAGCTCGACATTTTTTGGGGTGAAAGAATCACCTTTATACTATACATCTAAGAAGTAGCAATCCACATCTGAAGTATTAAGGGTCACTAAAACATTTCTCTAAGCAAGAAGCATTAAAATTAGGTCTCCAATTATTAGCAAGGTGTCATAAACACCAGAGAGGGAAAAAAAGCTAAGAAGCACGCATCCAAACCTGGATATGCTTGGACACTCTTCAATACGTATCGGATATTTTTCTTTTAAGACCCGTGGTGGTCCCCCCCCCCCCTCCCTCGACCACCCGGATCCCACGAGTGAATTGAAAGTTGGTTCTACATTGGATTTCACCCGAATCGCCCCATCTATCCTCTTGAGGAAAGGTTTGGTTTCAAACCCCAGTTCTTATATTTTATATATTTGCTAAATTTCCGATACGTATAGACACCTTAGGACAAGTAAAGAAGAAAATTTTCATAGGTTTTAAACTATTTTAAAACTCAATATATTATTATTGGCAATAAATGATGGTTTTTTTTTATTTAATAGATAATTATTGTTATTATCAATAGCTCAATGAATATTGATAATATTTATTAATTAACAAGGAATGCCTGCTCTTTCGTGTACTACGTACACTTTATGAGTACGAATAAAATAACTCCGTCATGTTCACAGTACATCTTATGCTTGGAATATGCTCATTATTTATGCTAAATCAATTTATCACCTCAGACAGAAGAAAAACACACAATTAGTGCTCGTCAACTAAACGATATACCTGATATCTGAAACAGAGAAATAGGTGTGATATGCAAATGTAAATGTAAAAGGCTTTCCATCAGTGTTGGTATTCCTGATACGAGAAGTCAGCATAAGATCTCCAGAAGGTCCCAAAGTTACCCGTAAGCGGAACTCAAAACTGACAAAAAGCAATGGAACACCAAAGATAAGAATCCAAACAATAATCTCAGTAAAAAAAAAAAAAAAAAAAAAAAAAAAACCAACCCAGATTAGTAAGCATCCCACCAATAAAAAGACCTCAAATATCTACCTATGAGGCCAGATTTTCATGTCCTCTTCAATGGGCTTGAGAATCAAGTCAACAAACGTCTTAGTGGAGGAGTTGGTTGGAAATGGAGGGGGATTAGTGTCAATGCTCCAAAACCTGTTTCTAGCAAATCCATGCTGCTCAAGAAAGCCATAGTTGGAGAACTGCAGATAGAAGTTCAACTCATCAAGACCAAAGAGTAACACATGCAAGTGGAAAGGAAAGAGGTTGTGGACATACTTGGGGAAAGCATATAGGGATCCCTCCACGAATTGGCTTTGGAGGTTTGAAAATGGCCTGCAAGATATGAACAATGCCACTACTTAAACTAAAATTGACACTATAAACATGACTTTGATCCGTCAAATACTTCATTCAACAGAAGATAAATACTGTAGTAGGTGTATCTTTGCCCGAGAGATTGAGGACCAAATGATTATATTGCCTCAATGAAATTCCGCGTCATCCAAGTGACAAAAAAATTGGAACGAAAGTTGTATTACAACTGGCCAGGAATTAAAACTGGATGAAGGAAAGATGGAGGACTGCATAACATCTTGCAGTTAGTACAATGTCATAGCATTGCAAGAACGGACAGCTAATGAGAATACCATGTGAAAATTATTACAGTAGAAAGCTCGACTTTCTACAACAAAATCAGATGCTAAATCATTGGAAAGTACTACACAAGTAATACACAAATAACAATATAATGGTTGGGCATGCAATCTGTAACTAAACACCATTTTTAAGTCTGGGAAACACCTTACTACTCACGAAAAGCAACTCCTCCCCATGATCATTCTTCCATGATGTTATGTGACCTCCATAAAGATAAACCTGTGAATGAGATTAAGATTATAAAGATAGCGGCTCTATAAACACAGGCAAAGTGCATTTAGAACAAAAAATTTGATTATCGAATACTTTGTTTTAAAAATAAATCTAGAAAAGCATTTAAGTAATCACCCAAACACATCTGCACACGGAAGAGTGGAATTTCAAGGGCTCGATAGGGAGAGATTATACCCAAAAAAAAAAAAAAGAGAGAGAGAGAAAAGAAAAAAGAAAAAGAAATCTTCCGAGTCAGAAAGTTTTCAGGTACTGTGAAAAACCACTGATGAGATATCTTGTTAAATTCATCACTTTATAATAATATTTGTAGAAAACTGAAGGGTTGTCATAGATTAAATGAAAAATCTTTATTACCGTGAGAGACTAATAAACGAAAGCAAGAAAAACACATGATTTAAGGCACTTCACTCTTCATGCAACGGCTACATCTACTTGTAGAATTGCACTATATCAAAAAAGAGAATTACAATGTCTTTTGTACTCATTCCTTTTTATTTTCTCTACTATGATACACATAAAGAAGACTCGCCCTAATAACCTTTACATACGAGGAAAATATTAGAGCGACCTAATACATGTGAGAATCTCCTAACATACCCCTATGAAACAAAAAAAGGGGGCTCGTCCCAGACCCATCGTCGACCTTACCACAGACCAGGGGAAAAGTGTACAATAAATTATGCTCCACAAAACCAACAAAAGTATGACTAAGGCAAATCACAATATTTCCCAACATTTTCCTTTTTTATTATAAAATAATGCTCAATGTACTTTAACCTGTTTGACAAGGACATTCAACTTTAGAAGGGGGATAGTTATGCAACCTCTAACAGATCAAACATCTTAGATAGTTATCTTCATGAAAATATAGGACAACGTGAGATCAACCCTTGTTAGGTGTCTAAGGGTAGATACTTCAATGCATGTAGTAGTCTGTAACTATTTAAGGTAATAGCTAACACAAATGGCTCATAGGAATGTATATTAATGATAATCAATATAAAAAATTAATAACAATATGCGATGGACTGTGCCATCCAAACTTCAAACAATTAACAACACTGAACTTCAAAAAGGAAATATTAGAAGTACGCCTAAATGTCTAAGCATTCTCCCCTCTATAACACTGCCAAATTACACTGCCCATCCAAAAGGGAGCTGTTGTACATGCACTAAAGCACAAAGCTCAACGATGATGCTGTTGCGCTTTATTCTGTACTTGTTGTGCCATGCTCTTGCATTATCAAAAGAACCTCAAATTACGAACAAATGTCTGATGAAAACGAATGATTCCTCAGTTGATTAAAGAGCATATCTGTATCCAAATAAACAGCCACAGGAAAACGCACGCACATATCTGTGTAAATACTCATGTATAGGGATCCGATTAATTAGACAGAGCAGATCAAAGGATATAAAAACGGAGATCAATAAAATTCAATAGCTCTTCACATCATTTCCATTTTGCCAACAAATGCAGATTAAAACTCAATAAAATAAAATATCACACTAGAGAAGGTGAAACCAAGATACGGCGTCGTTTATATAGGTATACATGTACCTCGGCGGAGCTTCCGCGGGCTTCTCGAAGGACGACCTTCTCAAGGCCATTCATTCCCTTGCAAATCTCAACGGGCACCCTCTCGATCGCTGCCGTTACCGCCGCCGTCGATGACATCTTGTGACGTTACTAATAGACAACTATCAGTATCTATGAATATCTATATATACACGTATTTTGTCGGTTGCTGTTATTTCTAACGCATTTAATCAACAAATATTCCAATTATGCAAACTCGTGAAGAATTTCAGTTTCAAAATTTTCCAACGATATTTTTAATTATCAGATTATGGTACAGAGCGTGATAAGAGTGTGATTTCACACGTTTTCTGTGGGTTTCAGTTTTTCTATTTTGTGCGAACGCTGAATGTGAATCCGTTTCACGAGTTAATTGTTTTAATGGTTACTGATCTTTTGATCATTAAAATTTAAAATGTTGAGTGTTGATCATTGAAGTTAGATTCAAGTTTTCGATTATTCATTGAAATTTAAAATATCGAGTTTTAATCGCTGAATTTTGAAAAATATTATACATTGTTTACTAAATTTTGAAAAAATATTGTACATTACTCAATGAATTTGAAAAAAAATACTATATATTACTTACTGTAAACTTGATATTTTTCAAAGTTCAACAGTTACACTAGTAAGTAACATAAAGCATATTCCAAAGTTCAGTGGCCAAAACTCAACATTTTAAATTTCAATGAGCAATCTAAGACATATACCCAACTTCAGTGAGCATTCGAAAACATTGACCTAAGTTCAATGACCAAAAATAGATATTTTAAATTTTAGTGACCAATTAAAGATATGGATCAAAGTTCAGTGACCATTGGAACAATTAACTCAATGTACCACACGATTCTGTTTTATTTAGTAATTTTTCATAAAATATTTCATTATTTGCATTGTATTTTAATTGCATTAAAATTTTCAGTTTTAGTACATTGTAATACTTATTTTCAATTTTTTATTAATCAGTAAATCACATCTCTATTAAGGATTTTATTTAAAAAGTTCAGTGGAATGACATAATGACTTATTTGTCCATCATATTTCTTACAAAAATAATACATGCAAAAGTGTCAAAGATGAGAAAAAAGAATTACGAGCATAAATGTTACAGTGAGAAAGATTGAAGACCTTACATGCAATTATTAAAAATTGCTGTGTGAATTTAATTACACATTAATTAATTCTCTAATTTTGAAAATACAAAAATACCCTTGTGGGTAATTACTAATTACGATTTATTTTTTAAATAAATATATTCACACCATAAGTTTTATTAAATGCACCATATTTTAATTGCATTTCCAAATTTTGTTAATTTTTGCAATTATTTTTCTCAACTTTTTTATGTTGCATTATTATTGTTATCCTTCAATTGATTTGTAAATTTTGTCCCTGATGATAGCATACGTACAAGTATTATGTTAGCGTGTTAAAAACTATTTTTATTATAACTGATGATGTGGACGTGTTTCAAACATGATGTATTTCACAAATATTATGAACGGTAACGTTGATGAGACAATCACTCCATGAAGAAATGTTGCAATTGAATTCCCTTATTTTATTTTGTGCTTGATTGGTAAAGATTTTGATAATTGATTTTTTTATCGTTAGAGATAAAGTGGATTCTATCTGTGAGAGAAAAATTCAAAAACGACCGCGTAAATAGTGAAATAACGGTCAAAAAAATTGATTTTAATTGGCTTAAAAGCTCTACCATACAAACTCTTAATTGTTTCATCAATAATTAGAGATGGACATGATTCAATTAAATTCAATATCGAAGAGAAAACTATTGAATGAGATACCAATGATAATTATTCATGCGCAATGATGGAAATGGGCTTGGAACCGATTGTTCCCGATCTAATTCTTTTTATGTTTCGGAATACTATATGAATTTTCTTGTTTCACTTTCATACTTTCTATTTCAGGACAATTATTTTTTTTGAATGCATATAAATTCATTTACTCAGGTGTGAGATCCGAACTGCAATGGTGGTTGTTGGTTCTAATACCCAAAATTAGTTAAATTTTAACCTCCATTTTAAAAAATTTATAAATTGTCAAACTTTATTTTTCAATCTCACCATCTAATGGACCCACAACTTATTTCTATTTATTTATAAATTAAACTGTTTATAAATTCTTCCGAAATTTTCATCCTGTTCCGATTCCGATCCAGTTAGGTTGGTCACACTAAAAATGATGATCTTGATGCCATAGAAGCAAGTCAATTTGTGATATCAATCTATTTCACAAGAATTTTGTTGAACTCATTGACAATCTTTTATATTTGTGGATGTGGTAGGTGATTTCGGGTTCTAAGTTGGACATTCAATCTTCCAATGAGTGTGTTTGCTGGAAATGCCGTCTGTCAAAAGATATTGTGTCAAGAGCATGTATCTCATAGCCAGCCGGAAAATAAGCTCTCACTCACAACCACGTAGCAAACACTACTTGATATGTCAAAAGTCGAATATAACATTTAGCATAAGATTAAACCCGGAAACAAAGATTTATAGTGGAAAAAATGGGTTACATGAGATGTAATCGTAATCTAAAAAGATCCAATGATTGTGCAGAACTTTCAGTGGACACTTTGAAATACACAAAAACCAAATTTAACATATTAGGAACTATGGCTTCCTGTGTGTCTTAAAAGTTTCATCATGGTTTGATTTTGAAGCCTGTTCCATTTATGTAAGAATCGTTCGGATTCTTTAAACAGTGTAGTGCTGCTGGATAGTTTCAATATCCAGTCCTTTCAGCTTCACGACTGACTCCACATGACCCTTGAGTGTGTGCAGCTCCCGAAGCCTATAAGAATGGCGAAAAGATGTTAACAGTCTTAAGCAAGAATGGTGCTTAAACAGACGGTACAATATTAACGAAGCCAGTTCATACCTTGCAATCTCAGCTCGCCTCTTGGCCTGTTCTGCAATTTCAGACAGCTCTCTATAGCCATTCTTCTCGTTGAAAAGATTAGTATTCTCCGTTGTTTGGAGGCCGTGTAAGGTCCTCTGAGCAAGAGCCCATTGAGCTTCTCTCTCTTCTTTTCCATAATCCTTCTTCGTGGTGAAAGCAATCTGTTCCAAAAAAATCATCGTCATTAGGTAAATAATACGACTTTTTAAGTGTAAACAGGCTTGTGAGAACTCCAAGGCATAGCCTTCGAGGTGGTGATGTTTGGCCAAATTCCATCATTAGACTATTAAACGAGCACCCTTTATTTGTCTGCAGTACGTCAGAATTTGTAAACGTACCCTGTTTTCATACAAGTTCTGCCATGCTTTCCCGCTCAAGATGTATCGGATAGCAAACTTCATTAAGTCGAGAGGCACATAGAAAACTAAGCTGTAAAGCCAGATTACTCCGGCCCATCCCCAACCACATCCTTTAATTCTGGCGAAACCCCAGTCAGCATATACGGCTATTAGAGTTGCAACCTAGAAGATCAAATCGGTTTTCGCATATTAGAGCTCTAAATACATCTGGAATCAATCTTTCTTACCAGTTCAAGAAAATGTAACTTTTTCCATAATGTTCAAAAAACAGTGCAAGAAGTTTTCAAGCAAAAATAACTAAATACGCAAAAGAGACGTTGAACTTTTACCATTTGTGCAATGAAGAAAGCAGTCAATAACAGCAGTCCAGGGCGTTCGATAAATGACCAACTGCGTGATCTGGTTACGAAAATTAGAGCTTGACTAATGATACTAACTTGAAGGTATAGAGCAGCCATCATTTCGTCCTCACTATTTCTAATGGACCTAACACCAAATTTGTCCTGCATTTGATATAAAATGAAAATTTGTATATTAAAGCACAATAGCAATTCTTGTTTCAAATGGAGAAGCATTAAGAGATGGGAAAAGGCACAGAAGCAAATTTTGCCAGTCCTTACAGAGAAGAAGTCAGTTCCCTTCATGATCCAGAAGAATATAACAGTCATCAATGCTTGGTAACCTCCGAGTACTATTCCAGTGGCAAAAATCTCTTTCAACTTCCAGCTATCTGGCAATGGAGATGGCTTAACTCTATCCTTCGAGATTGTCATGATTGTTCCTGAATAGAAAATATAATTTGAAATATTAGAGCCAACGAAGTTTAAGTAACTGAATAGAATATTTAAGGTACAAAAAATATTAGGGAGAATCATACCATCATTGAGGATGGCAATGATCAAAACCATGAATGGAGAGAAATCAAACTTCCAAATCAAAGCAATGAACATAAAACCAAACTGCAAAACAAGAAGGGAACGTCATAAGAATTCAATTGAAATAAGTACTATAGTAATCGTCTCTCTTTTTTCAGTGCAACAGTCAACTTACCACAATACGGATAGTGATCGAGACAGCATATATCTGCCAAAACAAAGATGAAAGATGTAAAGAATTAAACCTGTTTCAGCCAAAAACTACAACTTCAGAACAGACGTAATAAGGAAAAAACTAACTGTGTAGTTTTTCATTCTTTGGAAAATAGCTCGACTTGTCAACACTGCACTGATAATAACACTTAATCCCGGTTCAGTGAGAACAATGTCAGAAGCACTTCTTGCGGCATCAGTAGCATCAGCAACAGCAATTCCAATATCTGCCTTCTTTAAAGCAGGGGCATCGTTTACTCCATCTCCAGTCATTCCAACAATGTGCTTCCTCTCCTGCAACTTCTTCACTATCTCATATTTGTGCTCTGTACAACGAGAAAGACTTTGAATTTTCCTTCCATGGTTGAAAGAAGATTTGGGAATTTTCAGATTTGATACGATATCGCAGATGCAAGAAACTAACAATGCCTACCTGGAAAGACTCCAGCAAAACCATCCGCCTTCTCAATCAACTCTTCAATGGGAAGGCCTGCTATAGACTCATCCTTGTGTTGCCCAAGCAAAGAAGCAGATGGATACATATTTGTTCCCATCCCAAGTCTACGCCCGGTTTCCTTACCAATGGCAAGTTGATCGCCTAGAATTTACACACCGATATGAAGATGCATTTGGTTATGAAGGTAAAAAAAAAATGGTATGAAGGTTTCATTTCGAGGGTAATGAAATATGAACTTACCAGTAATCATCTTTACATTTACCCCAAGGTTGAGAGCCCTGCGGATGGTCTCTGCACTATCGTGTCGAGGAGGATCAAACAGGGATAAAAGCCCAACAAACTGCCATGGACCACCAGGGGCGTCTTTTGATTTCTCTGGCACTTCCTGCATATATATACATCAGCCTTAGTCACGGGAATAATTTTGCTAGAGAAAAATCGAACTTAAATAAGGAAGGGAAACTAACAAAACAAATGTTGGAACGCATACATTGAACTACCTCATTTAAGGCTTAAACTATTAGAGAAAGACACTCCCCTTTCACATGTGTACCAAATTCGTTTTATTGAAACAGTATTTCCATAATTGGGTAGTAATGAGACATGAACTTAAGACTTCTGCATGTTTTGCTAACTCAATCACCATTTCGCCTAAAAGTTTAAGTTGTTTGAGAGGAGGATGATTTATTTACGAATATTTAAATCTACGATACACATGGATGTAGGAGAAAATATCTAGCAGCAAACATTTGTATAGCAAACCTGTCTTGCAACAGCCAATGACCGAAGCCCGCGCTCAGCAAATTTATCGATTGTTGCATGAACCTTTTTCTTCAAATCTTCCTTGCAGTTGCAGAGCGTTAAAATCTGATTCCAGGCAAAGAGTTGATAGATTACCAAAATTTTGCTTAATATTCATTTATTCATTTAGTACAGCAAGAATAAAAGAAATTTAGAATTAGAAAGAGCACCTGTTCAGGAGCTCCCTTGCTAGCTCGATGCCAGTTTCCATTGGAATCAATGTAAGTCAAAGCAGTCCTCTTGTCCACAGGATTGAAGGGCAAAAAATGGACCTCCCTGATACCAGCTCGTGCCTAAGAATCAAATACATGTATTTTGAGCCCGTGTTTCACCTTTCCAAATTTACTCAGTGTGAATAAAAGGGAGAAATACCTCCTTCGGATCAGCTAGTGTACCAACAATAGCTGCATCAATCGCATCTTGATTTTCAGTTCGAGAAGCCCTAGCAGCAGTGAGCAAAACATGATCGGGATCTACTCCCTTTGCAAATACCTCAATCAAGCTTTTATCGACAGTTAACTTATTAAGTGTCAAAGTGCCGGTCTTGTCACTACAGAGGACGTCCATGCCGGCCATCTCCTCAATCGCTGTCATTCTCTTAGTAATGGCACCCTGCTGCGATAGCCTGTGGGATCCGATAGCCATTGTGACCGACAAGACAGTCGGCATAGCAATTGGAATTCCTCCGATCAAGAGGACAAGGAGATTATCAATCCCCTTCCTGTACTGCCTGTGCTGAATCGGGTACATGACAATTATCTCGACCAGCATTCCAATAGCAATGGAACAAATACAAAAGTTACCGATAGCAGTGAGCACTTTTTGGAAGTGCCCAACCTGGTTGGTACTATCCACAAGATGTGCTGCCTTCCCAAAGAAAGTATGAACACCAGTGGCAATAACAACAGCTTCGATTTCACCTTGTTTGCATGTCGACCCGGAAAAGACTTCGTCATGAGGATTCTTGGTTACAGGAAGTGACTCTCCTGTGAGAGCAGATTGATCAATCTTTAACGGATCACCTTCGAGAAGACGAGCATCAGCAGGAACAATATCTCCCAGTTTAATGCTTATAATGTCTCCAGGAACCAAAATGGCAGCTTCCTCCTCACTCCAGCGACCGCCTCTAAGGACCTATTACAATAACACAACAAATTTTATACATTCTCAGAAAAATTATTGAACTACACGGTTAGCCTCGTTTACACTGAATATGTAAAAAGTTTTACACCTTTGTTTTAGGAGCAAGACCAGCCATAAGTGCTGCAGCAGCATTTCCGGCATTGTTCTCTTCAATGAAACTGATAGTCGAGTTGATAACGAGCAAGCAAACAATACCGACAAAGTCTTGCCAATCCGGGGGCTTTCCACCTCCATTAGCCAGTGCAATAGCCATTAAAGCTGCAGCTTCCATCACCCATGAGAGTGGATTCCACATAAATCCAAGAAACTTGAGTATTTTGCTTTCCTGTAAATTCCATCACAAACAGATCATCAAACATTGCACATTACAATTGAATAAAAGACATTAATCATTAGTGGGTGTACCTTTTTCTCTTCCAATTTGTTTGGTCCGAAGATTTGAAGCCTGTTTGCTCCTTCCTCGGGACTTAACCCCTCCCGGGTACATTTCAGCTGTTCGAACACTTCTTCGATCGGAACTTTTTCCTATTAGTAGAAGGAACATAAACAAGCAAATTAACATTCTTAATATGTAAACTGCTGCTTGAAACTATGGCCTTAATGTTGCTTATCATAGAGGAAATTTTTTTGTGAAACATACATTGGAACTTGGAAGCTACAAGATTGAATTCATTTAATAATTGTATGATAAAACAAATTTATTGAATATAGATCAGAAAATTAAATTAAATTTATAAGCAATAATCCTCCACTTAAGCAGTGATTAAATGGTTAGACTAAAACAAGAAAATTAGTAGTTTTTTTTAATTTATTTATTATTATTATTATTATTTTTTTCATTTACCTAGTTAGCTAACCATCTGATAATTCCATTCTATGACATTTTAAATCACCAATTACTCACAACAAAAACTTCCAGCTTGTCAAAAAATTTAAGTCAAAGCTTGAAGTAAGAATCGACCTAAAATATTTCATTAAGTTATGGTGTTGTATTAATCATCGAACCACCTCGTCTAAAGGATATACCCCGTTAGACATAATTGATTGAGAACAATACTCTTAGTCTTTTTAATACACAACGAATGACCTTTCAATGCTTTTATGCAGTGGAAACAAGTGAAAAAAGAAAAACATGTTATTAAACTTACAGTACTTATGATACTCTACTAGCTTAATATTATTTAGTCTCACTGGAGCTACAACTCCAGTTTAGATGGTATTAATGTGATATTAAATGATAGATAACTTATTATCTAATGCTATCTAAATTGGGGTTGTAATCCAGTGGGATTACATAGTATTATTCTTAATAAAATGAACATGTATTAATTCATTTAAATTAATCATTAATATTAATAAAAATTTACAACACAAATCAAGAAAAATTTATTTCTTCCGTGTTTGTGTCTTGGGTAGAAGTATATATTTTGTCAAAATCGACGAACCAGTCCGCTAAGTGTATAAAATCCAAAAATAATAGGAAAAAGCCCAGTGTACAGGGCTTTTTCCTATAGGTTTTATACAGGGTCCTCACTGTAGCGAGGGCCCCACATGTATAAAAAAAAATTAACGCGAGCCCCACCAATGTGAGTACATGTAAAACATCTGGCAAAAAAGCATGTAGGGTGGTCCAAAATAATAATAATAATAATAAGAGAAACAAATTTAAAACCGTTGAAAAAGAAAGCAGTGAGCCGGTTCACCTAGAATTTTTTTACTTCTTTTAATTTTTATTTCGGGTTTCGATCCAGTTCAGTCCTTTATCCGCTACCGTTTTCGGATTAATTATGTATTCCTGTGGTGTTCTCAACTGTTTGTTCACATGAAGAATAGCATCTAAAGTTGACTTTCCACGTGTGATTTGGCCCATCTACCAATTTCTACAAATCCCAAAAAGAATGGTATTGGTTTCTCAACCAATCACGACGCATTAAAGTGCTGCACATTTTACGCGGTGGAAAATACACGTGTATCCACGCTCCAGGAAGAAGAATATGCCCTAGCCACATTATTTACATAAAAATACATTTTTAAATAGTATATTGATAAAAAATATGTAAGTAAAAAATAAAAATAAAATTTAAATTTACATGTACTATTATTTTATTAAAAAATATATGATTAAAATAATATCAAATCACCATTTAAGAATGTATTTTTTCAAAAAATGTACAGGGACGTCCAGTGTAAATAACTTTTTTTTAATATGGATTTATTCGGTAATGTCAATATCAAAAGCGTGCCAGCAAATAAAGGAGACAAAAGGTACCAAGTACCACGGAAAATGTACCATAACAAATTCCAAAAAGGAAACTAACAGCATGGACTAGTTGATATAAAAAATACTTTTTTCAAGCAGACGGTGTGGATCGTGTCACTTGAGATTACATTAATGACCCCAAATTAAACATTTTCTAATGCAACTATTAAATGATTATGTCAGTTTATCTATCACAATCACAGGAGAGGCTAATTACCTCAACATGTTAGGTTAGACTAGAAATTATACTTTTTCAAACTCATTTTTTTAATAAAATAATTTTGTACGTTGACTCATAAATTTTTTCTACTTTTTAATAAAACGTTTTTCAAAAAGTATATTTACATAAAACATGCTCTTAATACCAAAATGGGATATTCTCGCTCATCAGAACTTTGGCATGGTTAATTTAGCGCAGGTTTAGTTTAGATAAATATTAGATTTTTAGTAAATTTTGATAAAAGTTGATAAAATGTAGAGTTGAAAAAATATAAGTAAAGTTGTACGTTCGTAAAATATGTAATTAAAAATAAATTTAAGAAAATAATTAAATTTTAAAACTGGAGGCCAAACAAAAACTTACCTCTTAATAATTTGTCAGCCTGACATGGTTAATTTAGCGCAGGTTTAGTTTAGATAATTATTAGATTTTTAGTAAATTTTGATAAAAGTTGATGAAATATATAGTTGAAAAGGTAATTAAAGTTGTACGTCCGTAAAATATGTGATTAAAAATAAATTTAAGAAAATAATTAAATTTTAAAACTGGAGGCCAAACAAAAACTTACCTCTTAATAATTTGTCAGCCTGAAAATGATTGACCAACTAGTCCAACATCAGCATGTGAAACCGAAATTTGTGCATAAGAATATATTCATCTGTCTTGTTAGTTTCTTTAATTTTGCCTAAATTATTGGCCACGCGAAGCTAATATTTGGGTGCCAATTATACCGAACAAGTTCTCTATATAAAAATTGAATAATTAAAATAAGAAACGAAGAAATTTGACTCTCTGGAACCAATAATCAATAAGTCTTATTTTAAAAAAAAAATTAAGATGAACCCGCTTAAAACGTGAAAGTGGAAAATGAGGCAAGTAATAGTCTTTTATGAGATTCTTGCCCGAGTTGTTGGTTTCTACTTTTCCTTCTTCATCTTATACCAAAATGGGAAAGGAAAGCATCTTATTCAACTCATAGTTCAAATTGAAACTTTTATAAATATCGAATAGAATTAGACACAACAATAACTAAAAATTTTCGAATACATGGATACATGACAGTCGATAAGATTCTTATTTTTCTTAACGTTAATGTTGTTTGGTGTTGTATAGTCTAAAATTACCAAATAAGCATAAAGTAAAAACTTTTATTTACTCTTAATAACACTCAAAGACACGCGGTGCTGGTATTCATTATTAGTCTGAACAATAAAAGTTCTCATAATTTTATAGCAGTGCCGATGCCGTGCAATTTTCTTACCGAACAAGTCATAACTGGTGTGCATATATATACAAACCAAAAATTTAGAAATCACTTTTTTTTTTTTTTAATTTAAATAAGCAGCAATAATCCTCCAAAGAGGCTATTTAACAGAACAGTCAAAAGAGAGACAGATCTCATTTTGTTAATCTAATTTAGTAAATGAAAAAAATAAATAAATCTCGCTTCAAGATGAAATTAAGCAGAAAAGAAAAAAAGTAAACTGATAAAAAAGTAGAATGGTGTATGTATATATCTGTATAGTTACCAGATCAACAGTTTCATTCTTGATCTCTTCAAGACTGATCCCGCCCATGGTGGTGGCTTAACGGTGGCGACTGAACTCCGGCGAGGCAGATCAGAGACAATAAGAGATAGAAAATGATGAGAGGGAAAAAAGAATAAGTTTAGATAATCATTGAATTAAAAAGGAAAATGGCTCTCTCCACTACAAATGAGCCTTCCCAATCCCTCTTTTTATATCTTGTATGCCCGTCTTATGTTTGACTCCAACTTGCTTTTTCCTCTCTATATATTTTATTTTTATATATTTATATTCTCTACGTCTCTAGTGGTACATAGGGATGTATCTAAGCATGTACACCCCACTCACGTGGGATGTGGGATCCACCACACTTCAATATGTACCACTATATTAATTGAATGTGTAATACACATTTATATGTGTATTTATTGAAATTACATCAATAAACTTCTAATTATGTGCATATTTTATTAGAATATTATCTCTTTTCTTTTCAAAAATTTGCACAGACCTTACATATTTCTTAAAGAAGAAAATTCGATAATTTTTATTGCAATTATCGTTATAGTGGAAATTCAATAAAGGTAGAAATTTCAATAATTCTAAAGAAGAAGAAATATTTGCATATCATCAAATCCTATACATGAACATAAGTGCATTAGCCTTCCGGGGCATAGTCCAGTGGTGCAAAGGATAGAAGTGAGTTAGTCTCAACCTTACTGACAGTCGCAGTGTGAGAATTCGATTCCTGAAATATGGAATTAGACTCTTTGTGGGTATCAGTGTACAGGCAAACACTTTTTTCCTGACCTACTGGGGCACAACTCCCGATTTAACTTCATCACGATGCTCCAGGGATAGGGTCGTGGGAGCCCTCAAGGTTAGGGTTTAACCTTTATTTTTATTATTTTTATTTTTTTTGTTGTTATATATAAGTGCATTAACTCCTGCGTTTATTGACCTTTGAATTTTGCGTTGGGGTGGTGCCAAAATTAACCCATCCAAATTGGGAGTCTTTAACTATTCATGGGTCCCACTTTTGGTGTAAAATTACCAATTCCTCGTTTGATGAACTTTTTTTTGTTTTTTTCAAAACTTTTTTTTTCTACGAATTCATTTTCAATCACATATATACACAGTAAACATTATTTATGTAAATTAAAAAGTATTTTCCGAAAATTCACAATTCAAAAGAACTGTACAACAGTTGTGTCAAAAGCTCAAAATTGAATACACAATTCACAAAGACCAGTTATGTGTTTTAGTTGACTATTTTTTGTTTACATATACAAAAATGTCAACTAAAAATTATAGGAAATTTTTTTATCCAAATTAAATAATAAATATCACCTCATAATTATAGGGAAAATTGTGTGTCATTGGTATAATTGTACAACAATATGAAATATTAACACCCAGCTTTTTCTCAAAAGTTAGAAAATAACCTACTGGTAAGGCAATAGGTTATAGAATCTTCCCATAATTTTATGAACTCTCAATTCGTATAATTACCAAAAACAAATTCGTCAAATCGCAATCCGTTCTTTTTAAGTCTAGTAAAATTGTATTGTGATAAATACTCTTGGTTCTTTCTATTTTGAAAACTTTCTATAACCAAATAAATTAATAAAATTCACTACTAGCTGGCAGATAACACAATCCTCGTAATAGCATTTTCAAGAGACTATTTATTTTTAAAGAACATCTTGATATTTAAATTAAAAGAGTGAAATTTTTTATACTCTACAACAAAATCTTTAGTTTTTGCTCTTTATATTACTTTTTTCAACAATCATTTATTGTTTTTCCTTCATTTTCAATTTATAAATATATAAAAAAGGCACCTAGAAGCAAAGTGAGCCAAAAATTCCCATCTCGTGCTTTTTCACGCTTTTATTATTTTTTACACCTAGCTTTTTTTTCTTTTAATTATTAAAACAATATATTAATTTATAAGATTAAAATAATAATTAAATAAAATTAACATTTCTTTATGCTTTTTTACGCTAGATCTCGCCTAGTTTGAAACTTGGCATCCAAACCTATTTGAGCATAATTTCACGATTTAACATTTTAAACTAAAAAGCATCTCAATTTAGGGGGTCTCTTGGAGAGTCTCTAATATGTTACAATCCACAATGACAAAGAGCTAAAATTGAGATCTCTAACCTTCTAATATGTTTAATTTTATTAATTAACCACAATTTTTTTTTTTTGTCTATAATGTCACAATTACTAAAGCCAAGTCTTCTTGTGTAGATTTATCGATCAATTTATGTTGATTTATATTCCTACTCATAAATTCTACGATATGCCAAAGTGATTATTTATATTTTGGACATTTATAAATCCAAGTCGTCGTTTTTGACATTTAAATATAAATATTATATCTTACAGTATAATTATTTTTATAGCAATAAATCAAATTTCATGATCTAATAGGAAATAATCTAAATTCACCTTTAATTTATCCCACAATCCCAAAATTGACGTTTGACCCTTAGCGTTGACTTATCTTTAAGAGTAATTAACTGCACGATTGTTGTTGGAACGAGTCAACTGAGTTATTAATAAAAGTCAAAGCAAAGAATATTCACATTTCTGGAAATTGAAAGTGAAATATAAATCTCCCAATTGAAAAAGAATTAAATAAATGTCATAGGGTGTAATGTCATGTCCTTACCTGTACATAATATGGAGTAAAATTAGTAATTTAGTGATATTCAACTGAGTAACTTTATATATATATATATATATGAGCATGATGTAAGCTCTTTAGATTCAATATTTACTTGTCTAAGAAAAGAGAAAAAAAATGGGAAATAAGAAATTATAAATAGTAAAATTTGTCTTTTAACATAGGTAAATTTCCTATAGAAATATATTTAGGAGGAGAGATATAAACTAGTTGAGTAGAAGTCATGTTTGTATATCATCCAATATTAGGGAAGTTAAGAGGAGCGAGCAAATTGTCGGTTCGACTTGTCTTGGAGGCAAAATAAAAAAAAAACAAAAAACAAAAAATTCGAAATTCGAAATTCGAAATTTTAATAGAAAAAAATTAAAAAATGCACGAGTCGAGCCTTTGTTTTTAAAGCGAGCTAGCTCATGTTTCCCTATTTGCAAGCACGAGCGGACTTACTAGGTGAGCTGAGCCCGATTGTACCTCCCATCCAACATCTATGATATCGTAGGTTAATATATAAAAAATTTTAGTCATGTTGAAGTAAACATCGATAGCCAAAGCCAAGTGAGTTGCATGGATCCCATCTCCTTGTACAAAAGTATTAACTTGATAGGGTATCATGTCATCGAGATGTGATCAACCTTGAAATTTTTTTACTCATGTACATTAAAAATTAGATTGCATTAGATATGTAGTGGTGAAAAAAAAGGGATACTACTCACTTTACGTTCTTATTTTCATGACTCACATCATTAAGTATTAACTGACATACACAATTTTGCTTCGCTTTAATGTTGTGTCAAAATAAGATCTTTAAACAATTAAGAAATACACAATTCTCTGTCATGTAGACCTTAAAAAGGAGGGAAATTCCACTTGTACACTCTAATGTACAGTCTACTCACATGCAACAACCTTGACACTTTATTTGACAGTTTCAGACATTAGTCCCTTCTGCACCAATTCTTGGGTGCTTGCCATGTGTATGAATGTGAGGTATCCACATGGACCTCTCTATATTGATTAGTAACAAAAATAAATACAAAATCGCAAAGTTTTGATAAGAACAAATTCCAATACAAATATCTATTACTCGAGTTTGTAAAAATAAATGTTATAACAATCGAGTTGAAGTTGCCAATTTAACTGGAATAATAGGTAATTAGTTCGATTTATATCTAAAAGAAATAGATATTTAGAATCCGTTAAAATCTCCTAAAATCAATCGGTATTGGTTCACTTCTAGATTTTTGACTTTACCTATTTATTTTCATTTTTTTAACAAGTGTTCGGCCTTTAAATCCTTTACCTCTTTCAGGGTCAATGCTTAAACCAGTTTTTCAAATAATTGTAAAATCTGAAAACTGAAACTGGTCGAGCAAGATAATACGATAGAGGATTTAGTGTTGTACTTATACCTTTACCTTTTTTGTCAAATCTTATCCTTAATCCTTCATTAATTGACATATTTTGGTTCATAATAATGATTTGTGTCCAAATATTTTGCTAACGTGCTTTTAAATGAATAACAAATATTCTGTAATATTATTGTATTTATTTTGCCTTTTTCTTATTTAAAAATCTATAGGCCAAATAAGTATTTCTACACACTCTAATGAACTTATTGGACAAAAAATATTACAAGGATAATAAATGTTAATTAGTAAAAGGTTGAAGAGAAGGATAAGAGAAAAAGTTGAATAAATAAGTGTAATAATAAATAAAGATACAAACATCTTTAATAAATTTAAATGTAATGGAACCAAAGAAAACTATAGTAGCAACAAGCTTGCTACACGTATAGGAAAATTTTTCACATAACATTTATAGGAAAACTGTTGTTTCTAGAGTTTGAATTCACTCCTTCGAAAACAATCCGACAGAATTACCTGAATGCAAGAATTGATCAACAGGATCCATGCCCCTGTTACGTGGGGATTAACATCAATTTTTAGTAGATTTTGATAAAAAAAAATAAATGAAATGTGTGGTTGAAAAGTTGTGAATTTCATAAAATGTATGATTAAAATTAGTTATTGACTTTGATGAGATCATGTGCTGTTCCAGCAACTCACCCTTTGGTGGACCTAAAAACCAATATTTTAGAACAAAAATAATTAATAATGAAGTCAATAATACGTTAGTATATGGGAATTGGGATGCTTCCATTTTATCCTTACAATACTCAAGTTTTCTTCCATTTTCTGAGGATATAATAGATTCATGTTTGGATAACTTCAAAAGCCACAAGTTACTTTTAAAATTTCAAAGCATATAAAATCCCCTTTTAGGGCTTCAAAGGTGTAATCTAGGGAGTGAAAACAGAGCTTGATACTTAACTACAAGACAAGCGAATGGTTCACCA